TCAGAATTTTTTTAAAAATTAAAGCTAAAAGTTGACTTTGTCAAGAGTTAGATTAGTAAAGAGATTTCCTTGACTCTAACAATTCGTATTTAGTCAAGCTGAAATTATAATTAAACATGCGTAAAACATGTTTGAGCCATTCTCTATTGATTTCCACGGAAACATCTCATATCATCATAAAATCTTGAGCTCTTCAAATCTTCCAATTTTGTTTAGTTGTATTTAGTGCAAAAATTATATAGTTATAAAAACTCCTTGTTAGAATTTCTGATGAATTTTATTAAAACATGGTTTCAATAGAAATTGTTCTGAAAATGCCCTATTTTTGCATGTTTTCAGATACATTTTCTCTAAAATAATGTTTTGACCGTGGGAAATCACTGAGAAGCTGATAGCTGATGCGTAGCACATATTAACCAAAACATTGTGAATCTAGTCAACCCTATTTATTATGTTAAATTCCCAGGAATGATCTCACCTTTCAATAAAATCAGTAGAAAGGATTACGAAGTATGTTAACAACAAAATAACATTTAGCTGAAAATATGAATATAGGTATTAATCTTACCATGCATGAAATCTACATTGATTGGTCCAATTGATAAGCGGCAACCGCTACGGTAATGACTAAGTCGATTATTCTCGTCTGGAATAATCTCATGTAGTTTCATCTTACGGATATATATTGACGCGGCTTCTGGTTCCAGTGCTATGAGGAGTTGCTCTGGAAAAGCTTTGGAACTGATACCAGCCTACAAATGAAAAATAAAGAAAAATGTAAACTTTGAAATCATTCTGTAAAGTCCGATTTGATTGCAATTAATCATAATGAAGAAATATCATTTTTTAATATTTATATGAACCATTTAGAAGACATGTCACAGAGATCATTTACTGAAAATACCAAGTTTTATTCAATAGAAGAACAAATAAACCAACAATTGTATTCAACATATAATGGGTATCATTAAAACAAACACTTGTGTAAACACAAACACATAGTAAGAGAAAATATGACAAAGAGAATTCAACAACACTTTTGAACATTTGTTATTTTTCATAAAATCAACAACAACGACAACGCCGGACAAAATCTTTCCCTTAATATACCTTTCCCTTCCATCTTTGCATTATTATTTTCATGATTAGGACCTACAGCTGACTGCAATTTCTGTCCATCAAAACAAAATTAAATCTTTGAGTGTCCTTGTCACCTATTTGTTCCATCCACAAGATATTTCTGTACTGTTTGCTTCTGACAGGAAATGTTGATAATTAACAAAGATTGTTATCAAAAACTAAAAGCCAATGTTAGATATTGTTTGTATGATTCAAAATTAATTTGAAATTCAAAGAAAATTTTGTGAAATGGGTACAAATTTATGTCAAATTTTTTGGCGGGAAAAATATCTGGAGATCAAAAGGTAGATAGAGAAGATATAGAAAAATACATTTAAATGTTTCACCAAAATATTGGCGGAAACTTGTATTGAAAATAATACTAAATGCCAAATTTATGTTTCTCTCCAAGATAAAAACAAATATAAGTTTTATTCTTAACACTGAGGGCATTTCATAGAATGGAATTGAGTGCCCACACAGACTACTAAAAGTCACACATCCTGGTCATTTTGGGGTATTATGTCCTATAACAGCAATAATCTTGAATCTTATACATTAATTTTTGTCATAATAAATATTTTATCAACATATGTTAATAGACATTTGTTTAAATGAAATCAACAAATTCTCATTTATAGTGAATTTGTACCACCAGAAGTACCAGGATGTGTGACCTTTTAGGGTCACACATATGGTCTATTTTGTTTACCTTATATGCAGCTTCTCTCATGAATTGTTTTGCAGGTTGTTTCCAAATGGCAGGTACTGTTATCACCCATCTTATGTCTTCGTTTTCTATCCGGTCTTCCAACTGATCGTTCAGTTCTTGTAAGGCGTGTTCCTTGAAAAAACGTAGCGCATGGGAGAACACTTCTATCGCAGGCTTTCTTTTGCCGTTCACCGCTGTCAATTCTGTTTTGTTGCTTAGATCCTGTAAGAGAAACAATTTATTTATGTAATAATACATAATTAAATGGGGGGAAAAAAGCACTTGCATTTGAGAAAAATATCAAAATGGTTAAAATTTTATAATGCCAAATAATATGTTCAAGTTTAATACCTTATAAAGTTATTGAGACCACAATAATTGTAAAATGCAAAATTTACCGTAGAGAAAATGGCAGCCGAGAACTCATTGACAGTGAGACACCATGAGTTTAGTTTTCGTGCATTTTATAGTATTTAACTCTCTCTCGTTGTCTTGTCCATTGTTCCCTTGACCTATGTAACCATAGTAACAATGGATGTGATGACAAGAGATTAGAACACTATTTGAAGTGTGAATACAAGTCTCATGGCTCTCGCGAGACTTTGGTGCATCTGTATTAATAGTGAATGAATCTTGGTGGCTTTGTCCATTGATTCTAAAGCACACAAACCCAGAGTAGGGGTCAACGACCTCCAGGTAGGTTTTGAAATCAGAATCTAACTACCATGAAAATGTTGTCATCTGTGGGGAGTTTAATTGAGTGTGAGAGACATGTACACACTGGACAAATACTGTAAAATAATTTATTTTAGCTGAATTTAATTTTCGCTGAAAAGACATTTTGGGTGTTTTGTATGGAAATCAGTTTCACTGAATCATTCCTTCAGCAAAAATGGCGAAAATTAATTCCTAAGCAAAAATAAAGTATTTTACAGTACATTCATTATAGCAAGAGTGTTCCATAGAACAGCATCCTCTAGAGGCCAATATTGTCTAGAAAAGCGCCACCTAGAGGCAACATGATTCACCAAGATACCAACAAAACTGATAGTACATAAGATATGATAAATATCCTGGTCATTCACAGCACAGGATTCATAGCTCATATTTCAGAAATCCAATATGATATTTTGGGCGATAACAACATAACTGAAATACCATAACCGATTGACATTCTATTAACTGCATTTGTAGCTTAGACAGCCTAGACGAGGTACTAAAATACAATATAGTGTCAAGCAAAAGCTGCCATATAAGATTAGAAAAATTGTCACTTTGAAAAAAAGGTATGAATTATGCTAAGCAGCCAACAACTGGTACTCATGAAATATGCATTTTTAACCAAGCAGACAAACAATTGACTGCTCTGCCAATAAAAAAAAAGTTTATTGACTTTATACAAACTGTCCACATTTTTATGTCATGCAGACTCGTGCAAATAAATCATCTACATGAACTTCCTTTCCTCGGCAAACTGTTAGGGAAATATTTTGGACACTTTTATGTTATTTTTATTATGATTAGTTTGTTCCTTTTTTTACTAAATATAATATAATTTGATATTGACTTATAATATCTTGACTAACATTTTTGAAAAAATTTTTTTTTTTGAAAGTTGAAAGGAGAAATTGAATCAGGTGTTATTTTTAAGTAAATTTTAAAAAGTATATATTTTGTGTTCTAGTATTTTTTTGGAAGGGGAGGGGGAATTATATATTTAATAGAAGCGCATATAACTCCAAAATTCCTTATATCATACACTTGATCATTAAAATATCCCTTATATCATAGACATGCCTCTAGGATTAATATATAATACGGCAAACAACACCATATATTTGTGGGTAAGTGACACATGAGTACATCTAATGATGGTGTGATACCTACAATCATGACAAACGTACAGTGTTGAGATTATGTAACTTGAGAGGAGACCATGACCCAAAATACCATACCCAAGTTACTGTCTTCACCACCAATAACTCATCAGTAGTAACTGACTAGGGTATCATCAAGTCTACCACAACACATTCAGTGTCACCATTTAATGAATAAGACAAGATAACACAAAACAGTCTAGTTTACCCATTTGTCACGTTGAATGGACAGAAATGGCTTTGCTAAGAAAGCAATGAATAAATCATTTTTCCCTGATACTATGAGATGATTATTTTTTTTCTGCATCAACTATTTATATAAGCAAGTCTGGTATAACTGGATTTCATTTCAGCTGTTGTCTCTTCATCAATATAGACCGTGAATACCACTGATATCTGTATCAAAGATATCTGTATTTGCTGCTGAATCTGAATCTGAATTTTGAGTGTAGAAGCAACACAAAAACTTCTTATCAAAGATGAAGGATTAGAAGGTTGCTATGGTAACATAACATAGGAGGAGGCATTGTTACCATATGGCCATAATTCTATGGGTTATTTTTTTATCATCAAAAAAAATGTTTAACTGTTTGAATGCCAAAGTCAAATTTTGTCAAAATCCACCCACAAAATTTTGTTCATATTTTCACAAAATCTTGATCAAAAGCTGTAACTAAAATACTATTATGTTCAAAATTATCAAAAAAATATAGAAATATACATAAAAAAGCAAAATGTTACACCAACATTTTGGTTGGAAAAATAAATGATTATTTTGAAAATCTTCCTAGTTATCCAGTTATCCTAACATTTCTAATTTTGTGTCCCTTTTACCCACTCCAGTGCTAGGTTAAGACCTTGTATCAGTCACTATCGGAGTGATCAATTTATCGTCATTCAAAATTGGCTTTAGCAATGAGTGCATACATTTTTCTTTTTATGTTTCATGTGTTGTTTGTTAAATAGTATGTAGCAACAAACAATATTGAAAAAGTATTTGAAAAGTAGCTTAATAAGTAGATCATCATCAGTTCATAAAACTACGTCCATCAATTAGTGAGTGGATTTCATGGAGTGACAACATTACATCAGTCTACGGTTGCTGTTATTAGTTGGACTCCTATCTATTTTTACCATGGATGCGACACCACTATATACATAATACAGATTACTATATTTCTGTAATTCACACAACATATGTTATCAAATAACTTCTTATATTATAATAATATTCAACAGAGTATAATAAACTTGTTCTAAACATTCTATCCTATATATATATATATTTATATATTGAGGAAATGCCTCAAGCCATATGCAGGCTGGCATAGATTCTTTCATTTCTGGCAACTAGTTCTGATAATAATAATAATTTTATTAATTGTATAATGGCCTCCGGCCCATTACAATCATGCAAATTAATTATTGACAAGAAATAAATTTACATTACAAAATATGTATGAAAATATAGATGAAGAGTGTGTCAATACATAATATAAGCCCTATATAATAATGTGATGGGGATATTAATATATATATACATACAAGCTTATTAGGTTATTCTCATTTGATCTTTGATTAAAAAACACTTATAAATAAATAGAGCCAAAGAGTTAATGATTTGGCTTTTAGAGGAACTTAATAGTTGTACTAGAGTATTCAAATTTGGGGGTTGTGTCTCATTTGGAAGATACTTTTTCCTGATTGTGTCCCATGCAGTGCATTTTAGTAAAAAATGATATTCATCATCAATTTCTTGCAGGCACAAATGACAAATACGGCTCTCTCTAGGGATATTATTATGTCTGCCTCTTTCTATTTCTGGCAACTAGTTCTGATGACAAATGTCAAAGTCTTTCCACCAGTAATTCTACAAGAATTGCCACAACCAAATTATTTTTGGTGTTGATGTGCACTTTTTGAATGGTTCCACAACTGGCACGCTTGCTCCAAAGGATCCTAGGTGAGGATGCCACAGAAGCATGTCCTTTTAGACGCATAGTATTCAGATTGAAATACTTTATCTGTCTTGATGATGTCTTGATGAGTCTTGTTCCCTGGTTCAAACATATCTTGAGATCTCAGAACAATGTAGATCGTGGAACATATACAAATCAGAAATTGTGCATGAATGAGATTGAATTTTTGACAGTTATTTTCATTTTTTTTTCAAAAATCGTGATTAAGGTTTGTAGAAAATGTTGAATTATGTCCATTTGGTTCAAAGTTAATAAAGAAATTCATAATGACCCCTCAAGAAAAAGCTCCACAAATGTAGGAGAATGCAATTTACAGTTTTTTTATCACTTTTCATTCTCTAGATATTTCAACTTTTCATCAGTATAATGTAGTCAGCCATCTTGATTCTCAAGCAAAGGATTATGGGTAAAGTATGACATAGAATCTGTTGTCAGAAATTGAGATTAAATCAACTGAAGGTCAGTTTGGCTCATTAACATATTCAAATTAGTGAGATGACAGTCAAGGTTTAGATATGAACTATTTAGTACCACTAAAAATAAATATTTAAACTAAGGACATATTTTGACAGGTTTCTCAGTGTTAGCCCAAACAAACAGTGTCCTTCTATAAGCTATCATTTTTCAATAAAACCACAGGGAAGGGTGCAAAACAAAGTGATACTTATAGTTTCCGTGACATCCTTATTCAAGTTTCTACATTTTTTTAATAATTTGTTTGTTTTTTTCAGTTTCTATCAAACTGTGTAAGGTGGTACAGAACTCCTGTTTAGCATGAATTTGCTGGGTGAGTTAAAAAAAAAATGTTACAAAAAATGTCAAATTTGATTGAATTTATACTTCCTATGCAGCCTTTTCTCAATCAGCAATATAATTAATATGTTTTCTAGCTGTCTAAAGGAGGCCAAACATAAGCACCGTAACCAAGGTTACCACCAACATCTCATCAGTGAATAAACCACTGAAAGTTGCTTTGGCCTCCCCATTGAGTCTGTGTGGTACACTCACACAGGGTGGGGGTCGAGGAATTCAACCCAAGATCTCATCTGTCTAGTGCAACAATCAGCAACGTCAAAGAAATGACAAACACAATGATAGACAGAATTCTTATGAAGAAAACTAAAAAAAAAAAAATTAATTTTTGATACTGATGGCTACTTTCATATTTATTTCATCATACTGTGGAATACTTTATTTTTGCTGGAATTAATTTTTGTGAAAAGGCTTTTTGGGCGTTTTGTGTGGAATTTATTTTCACTGATTTTTGATGAGTTTGATATGAAATATAGGAAAAAAAGTATATTCGCTGGATTTTATTTTCACGGAATCATCCCTTCAGCGAAAATAGCAAAAATAAATTCCAAGC